CAAAAGTAGGGGTTATGTATAACTTTTCAGTTTTTTCCATCAATCTCCAAGGTCTAACCTTAGCAGCTAAGACAAGTTGCCCCAACTTCTTTAGCAGCACATCAGTATCAGACTTGACAGGATAAACTCCCCAAGTCTATCGAACGGTTGAAAATATTCTAAATTAACATGAGTCTTATAAGTGTCAAATTTAAAGGGTAATTCCATAGAAACATACCAACATTAATATGAAATAATAATGTATTTTTATTCATTTACAATAAATGTATCTACACATCAATTTGATTATATGCCGAATGGAATCATCAAAGGGGTAGCATCTGCATTATTTTATCTACATGAAGATTGAGAGCAAATTGTTGTTCACAAAGATATAAGATCCAGCAATGTCTTATTAGATAGAGAATTTAATGATAGATTAGGGGATTTCAGACTCTCAAAGTTATATGATCACAGAACCATTCCTCAAACAACACATGTGATGAGGACACTAGATTATGTAGCACCAGAGATCACTAGAACTAGTAAGCCGACTCCAAGCACAGATGTATTTGCTTTTGGTGCTTTTATGCTAGAAGTGGCTTGTGGAAAAGGACTTATAGAACCACAAGCATTTGATGAAGATCTTGGGACAATTCATGAGACCGCCGATCCAAATTTGGGAGGTGGTTATGTAGGTGAGGAGATGGATTTGGTGTTGAAGTTTGCCTTTGTTTATTGTAATTCAATTCCAATTGGTAGGCCGAACATTCGTCAAGTATTGGAACTTTAGAACGGAGATCCTCCTCTCCCGGACACACTACCGGTGAGTGCCAGTTGTCTTACGTCTGCTCACGATGAAGCAGGCTTAAACGGGTTTAGTATGTCGTGCCCTTCGCCTGGGGATTACAATAAGCACTACAATCATTCAATCATCGGTGGCAGAGTCTATTCTCTCAACAGATCGTTAGTAGAAATATGGTTGGTTAATGAAGCAGCTCAGGCGTTTATTGCAAGGTAAGTGGTTTGACCAATCTTGGCTGCGAAAATTAAAAATAAAAAGAAGTGATGTAATCGGTCTTTCTTTTGGGTTGTAGTTTATACATCTTTACCAATTGTTAGAATTTTAACACACAACTGGTGTTTTGCTGAATATACTTCACCTCTCTCTCTCTCTCTTAGATGAGTTCAGATTGTAAAATCAATTATATATGCAAATTAAATAGTGTTTTATTTCATATATTCAGCCTGTTAGTACACGGAAGGAAGAGAGAATCTCATTAGCTTACTTGAAGAAATCTTCTTCAGCTCTTGTTTTGCGAATCATGCGGAGGGACTGTAATACAATGAGATCTCGCTAATGATGCAATATTTCATCGTATCATTCTGAGCCAAGACAGTAATGCGAATAACCAGTTACACCTATGAATGGTAACACGTAAACAGTAAAAAAAATATTGAAATATCAAATAGGTTGAGGTATGCGGATGACAGAGAACATTAATTCAGCCTTTATATGAATTACAATGGGCCCGGCCCAAATACACAATAAGGCCTCCAATCCCAACCCATGGGTGCACTGGACGCGTAAACCCACCAATAGGAGGCGTGCACATCCACTCCTTTGCACTAACCTTACGTAACGGGTGTTCAATATTAACTTCCATCCGTCTGGTTGAACCAAACGTTAAAAGAAGAAAATAACAGTGAGAAGAGCACCGGAAGACCACCGGCAATTTTCCTGCACAAACGACAGGTGGTCTTCTCACCGTCGAGAGGGTATTCATGTCCATTGAGCATACGATTCATCATTTCTCACCAATTTCACTGCGTGCTAGAGCAAGCAAAGAAATGCGTCGGCACGTGACAGAGCAAGCAAAAGAAATGCATCATCTTAGGGAGGTTGTTGTTATCTTCAATAAATACTTGCAGAAAAGAAAATGAAAAGAAAGTGCATGCACTGAGCGAAATAAATAGATAAACAAATTTCATAAACTAATTCATCCAGATTCAGTCCAAACCACGGAATTACAGAGATGCAACGCCTTTTATATAACCATAGCATCTCCAAGAAATGCGCCGGCGCCCCATTTCAATTTGATGCTTCAGAAAAGGAGAGATTAATCAATTTCCGCTGAGAAATGGGCTGGCCAACATACTTACTTAACTGAACAACCCGAATCCGCTGAGAAATGCGCCGCGCCACATATATAACAGCATTTGCTGAATGGTTGTCACTTGTGAGTGGAATTAATACTGCTGAGAAATAGGCTGAGGCGGTGTCGCAGTTGATGGAAGATGAATAGTAGTTTTGCCATTCTTTTTTATATTTATTTAAAAAAAGTTAATCTATATTAAAAATATTATTTTTATTGATATTAGGGCCCAAAAATTACCCTTATCAACTATAATTCCTAGTCTTTTTGGTATTAAGTACCCCTATTGTCATTAGTTTTTCAGACTTAAACCTCAATAAAAGCCTAAGCATCAAACCAAAGTTATAAGATTTAGACCTTGAGGCAAAATCTATGGAGTCTGGATTTATTTCTCACAGCACGTTCTTCACACCAACCTCAAAATCCCAGTTCCATCCGCCTTACCTGAAGGCTTAAGTCTTATAAAACCATGGTTTTGGTTGTCGACTTTTGGTTCTGGCTGTCCAACTTTGTCCAATTGGGGTATGACAACACTGGATTCAATCTTTTTTCCTCTTGTAACAATGACAACACTGGTTCTACACAATTGAATACACTACTGGTTTGAAGGAGTCAAAGTGAACTCACATAAATGATAGCAGGGCTTTTTTTGTTTTTTTCTTTTTTGACTGGCGTCAAATTACGAAAATCAATCAAACGGCATCATAATAAATTGATTGCCTAAAAGCTAAGTATATACATGAATTCCTTTTTTAGAAATATTATCACAAAAGTGGAACGGATTAATAAACAATATATATTGTCCAGCTTACATATAGTAGCAAAAAAAAAAAAAAAAAAAAACATTTTCCTTCATCACTCCACTAAACAGATCTATCCAAAGAGACCATTGAAGAAGTCTGCAACAAGTCTATCTCTTTTATTAGAGCACTGCTATTTTTTCCTTCCCACGGCACTGCCGCTTTCGAATTCCATCGACATTAATGGTTGATGCAATTCTTTAGAATCACAAGAACTTGATATGGACAAATGACGTATGGTTTCAGGCACTCTCTCTCTCAATCAATCAATCAATCAAGATCAAATATATATAGATATTTAATTGAGAAAAAGACAGCCCAGATGTAACTAGAATTAATATCAATTCATGAATGAGCAATGGTGTATAAAATGGGGGTATTTGATATTTTGAATTTTTATGTGTAGTAGAATTCAAAAATCTACAGTGGGCCTGTCCAACCTTATACTGCATGTCTCTACCCCATTTACATTCAAACAGCACCAAAATATTAGTTGGGATATGTTGCACCTTTTTATTTTTCCTACACTTTCTGCATTAACCAATTATGTGCAGTTGGTTTACATTATACATGTGCAGTGGAACACCTACCAAGATTCAATTGGGCTGTAAATGAATGGGACCGAATTGGATACATGGTAGATTCAAGTTTTATTTGTTCACTTTCAGATCCGAATCAAATTTATCAACTAAAATATATCGAACATGAACTAATGACACTTTAGCGAAAACACAACATTCATACCAATTTTACTATTAGATAAAATATAATCCTTAAGCATATGAAAGTATATACATTTAAATCGAATTGAATTGGACGAAGAATTATATAAATTTTCTGAAGAAAAAAAAAGATCTCCTTCACTCAGATTAGGAATAATATAATAGGGCCTCAACTGATTCACTAGTGAAGAAGTGTTCAAAAATCCACTATAAGAACGAATAATTAATATGATAGAGAACACTTATTATATTTGCATATTATCATTTATGGGGGGGGGGGTGATATTCCTAATATACAGCTATAGTGTCCTGTGGATAGAATTCTCATGGGTAAGAGATCTGAATTGCTATTGTGGTAGTAGGATATGAGTTAGGGAAGGGCAATCGAATAGGAATGGCACATGCAGTGAATTGGCACATATAGAGTTGGAGGTTTGTATACATTTGTATTTTCACTCCTAACAAACTGATCGAACATAATTCTTATAAGATGGTTAATTAATTGGTAATAATATTTAGATATCACAAGTGTGTGAACCTGGATGTAAGGCAAATTACAAGTCAAATAGTCAACGTGCCATTGTTCTATATACATGGGACCCACATCGCACGTGAACAGGGCCAGGGTTCATACGACCCTATATATATATCAGCAAAAGCAAGTCTGCTAATTTGGCATTTTATTTATAAACAAAATCATAAGGTTAAACCAGTAAGCTATATGAATGAAATAGAAAGAGAATGGAACGATTTAATACTAAAAATATAATATTTCCCATTATCTAATTACTTTTTCTGGTAACTTGAACTTTATATATTAAAGGCTTAAAAGCTAACAGAAACAAAGATTAATTATTACTTCAGTCCTTTGATAATTATCAAACATTATTATGTCATTTATATTTAGTAGTAAGTTTGTATGTACTTTTGTAATTGGCAATTTTTGTATGATGTTAAAAAAATATGTATTTAAAATTTTCAAAAACTTTTTATATTTCTATATGTGTAAAAATTATTCTTATATTTATCATATTTATTTTTGTTTAATATGATAAATATATAATATTTGTATATGTATAAAAATAATTTACTTTTGAGTTAATTTTAAATTTTGTGTTTTATAATTTTTATCATCAATTAAAATTAAAAATAATTCTTACTTATCGTGTTTAATTTTTAATACGATAGATATAAAACATTAGAGAAATATTGTTCTCCAAATTTCTACATTGTATTGTTTTTGTATTTTTATATTTTATAGTTTTTCTTATTTAATTATGAAATCAAGAATTAACACATATGACCAACTATTGACCGGCGCGCTTTCACATTTCCCCACTCTATTCACACTTTTAATACTGCTGTATATTTAATAGTAATTGATATGTACATACAAGTAAAGTTTAGCCGCAAGTTATCTAAAAAGATTACAAACTTTAACGGCCGGTTGAGAGGAGTGAATCTGCAACTAATGGTAGTTGTGTAGTCGATGTATTTCCTAGAGAGGAAGAAGGATGCGACGTGGCAAATACTTCAGTCCCTTTACCATGTGCAAACGCTTGACCATGCAAAGATGATTCTGGCAGAGGGACATCACCGGCCAAAAAGCGCACCACCTGCCGCATAGTCGGCCTAGCAGTCGGAATGGAGTGAGAGCAAAGCAAGCCAAGCTTTAACACCAAATCCATTTCCTCAGCTACATAATCACTACCCAGATTTGGATCTACTGTCTCAAGAATCTTCCCTCTAGTCCAATATGACAACACCCAATCCACCAAAATTATCTTTTCTGCTGACGATGCTTGTGGATCTATTGGCCTTCTCCCACATGCCACTTCAAGCATAAAGGCCCCAAAACTGAAAACATCTGAGCTCGGTGATGCTTTGCTGGACCTAGTAATCTCTGGCGGAATGTAACCAAGCGTACGTACCACATGAGTAGTTTTGGGATGCATTCCTCGATTATAGAGTCTTGCGAGGCCAAAATCTCCTAATCTTGCATTAAATTCATTGTCTAACAAGACATTACTGGACTTGACATCTCTGTGAACAACCACCTGTTCCCACCCTTCATGCAGATAAAATAGCCCAGATGCTACTCCTTTGATGACATGAAATCTTTGACCCCAATTCAGTGTGGCTTTTGATTGGTTGAAGAGGAATTTGTCTAGACTTCCATTGGGCATATAATCGTACACCAGTAAGAGTTGTCCTTTACGCCGGCAATAGCCCAAGAGCTGTACCAAGTTCCGGTGCCGCAGCCGTCCCATGCTAACAATCTCAGCGACAAATTCTCTCAATCCTTGTCTAGATTTATGAGAGACTCTCTTCACTGCGACTTCGATTTTGGAGGTGGGTAACACGCCTCTGTAGACCCTACCGAAACCGCCGATACCCAGAAGCTCATTTTCCCTAAATCCGTTGGTGGCGATGTAAAGATCTTTGTATTTGAACCTATGAGGCCCATAGTTGAGTTCCCAATCTTCAAGTAATTCAGCGAACTTTCTCTTCCTTCTCACGATGAAAAGGACAATGGAAATTACTATGAAGGCCAAAACTAGGCCAATAATGGGTAGTCCCACCGTCAGAAATTTGGAATGCTCTTTGGGTCCTATTCGAGGTAGCTTCGGAAGCTGGGAGATGCTAAGCTCTTTGGCTGGTCCGTTCATCTTAAAGCTCCATCCCAACACGTAATGCGACGCAGAAAAGGCACCCGTCGAGGAGGAGAAGCCAATGTACATGAGATCTTCCACGACCTGAGAAAGATTTAGGTAATAGGAAAGCAGAGGAATATCGGGTTTAGTAACATCGATCGGAGCCAACGTTACATTAAGTTGCTTGTTTAGACCACTGTATTCTACCCACACTTGTATAGGTTTCCCACTCATAAGGGTTAAGTTGTTTACGCCACCGCTGTGATCGGTGGCATAAGACGCCGGAGCGGCATGGATGGACATTAAACCGTTAATATCGATACCAACATGATTGTTATTGATATCGGAGAAATCACCAGTGTTCATGATGGTGTCGAACTCCACTGCAAAAACATGATTGGACTGCTTACCATTGTTAAACTCGTTGAAGAGGCCTAGATATTGGGCTGGTAGAGCTCCCGGTAACGCTCTTGTAGGTGTGATCACGAAAGCAATCCCATGACCACCTAAACTTTGGAACTCGGGGAGGATCCCAAATACAAAAGTTGTAGAAAAAGTAATCACATTACCGTCTGATTGATTCTTGAACTGGAACGGGTAGGAATAGAAGGCATGACCTATCTGTCGTATAGATTGGTTCGTTAGCATCAAGAGGCCGTTGGGTGTGATTTGTGCCATGCCATCCAGGCTAACATTGGCACCCTGAAAGCCGTTATAGATAAAACCGGCATCTTCCGAGGCTACCATGCACGACATGAATAAAAGAAGAAAAGAGCACAGAAGCAGCAGTAGTAGCTCGAGCTTCACAAACATCATCGATATCTTGTCCGAGAACGCAAGTTTTATCGTATGTTTTATCCTAGCAAAAATTTTGTCTACTTTCTTCTCTGCTACAAAATTCAACGGACTCCTCAGGTACGTATATCTAGGAACCAGTGAAGAACCAGTGTTTCACTTCTTCGATCGGAATCCACTCATCAGCGATACAGCCCCTACCCTACTAAATCAAACCCAGCTACTTTTGTTCTCGTGGTCTACATACAGATTGCGTAAGTGGCCCAACTGTTTCCACCATCCACATTAAATTATTCAACCATATTTGTCTTATTCCTATCAACTCAAGGCCTGGCAATGCCAATGGTCCTATCATCTATCAGATTTTTTTGGTGAACTATCTTACCATGTAATTATAAAATCTCTATCACCGATTTACCAAATAAATAAAATCGATTACTGTTTACCCAAAAACTTATCACATATATGTTGCTCATTTAGTGGTTTGGTGAATCCATTTATTTTAATTAAAAGTTTGGATTTAACTAGAAACACAAATTTAGGGGCTCTTTAGTTTCGTTGGTGTTTATACGGTATTTATTTTGAAACCGAGAAAATGGTTGAAAAACTTTATTTTACAGCTAGGTGCCATTAGAAAAAAAAAATGAATTGGTGTTAGGAGAAATATTAAAAAAAAGATTCCCTCGTAAAATTTTACACAAATTGAGACTAATGTTTATTTGATAAATAATTTAATTAAACAGCATTTCAAATTTTATTGGGAAATATATACATACGTTGTGTTTGGTTTGAAGCAAAAAGTAGGGAAAGGAAGGGAAATGTAAGGAAATCTTTACAAATCTTGTATAGGTTTTCCTATGTTTCATTTCCTTTCCCTACCTTTTCCTTCAAACCAAACATAGCCTTAGAGATGTGTGGCTACAATTCAAGACAAGTAGAGAATGGATAGGAAAAGTGAGTAGGAAATTATATCCCATTTGGTTTTTTAGCTAAACAACACATAATTAAACACCATCTTACAATGTGGGCTAGGCACCAAACTACCTTTAACATGTCATTCAATTTATGTGGGATAAGGGTTGTGTGAAATGGTAATTTGTAGATACCTTGTAAGTTGTATCTTCCAAAAATATGTGTTTAAGTTCAATTCTTTTTTTTTTTTTTGGTAATAGAGATTGAAAATTTTCATTAAGAGAAACTCAAGGGGGGTACAAATCTTCAAAACAAAGGAACTCAAATGGGCCAAACCAAGTTGAGAAATGGTTTGCCATCAATCGATTAAAATCGGGGGAAAGGGTTGCACGAGCTAAATGGTGAGCTACCCTATTTGTCTTCCTACCACAGTGGAGGACTTTAGATTGGGTAAAACGCCTTGAGAGGCTACAAATATGTGACCATACATTTTTCAGGGGGTTAAAGTCAGATTGTTTATTGGAATTGAGGGCTAAAATAGCTTCCAGAGAATCAGATTCCACTAGAATTCTATCTAGCCCTTCTTTTAGAGCTTCCCAGCAGCCCAACCGAATGGCTCTTCCTTCAGCATCAACGATTGATTGGCAACGAATTCGGTCTCCTCGAGCACCAACAACTTTCCCTTCCTGATTCCTTATGACACAAGCGATTCCCGCCCACCCAGAGGATGCATCAAAGCTTGCATCACAATTCACCTTCATCCATTGGTTAGGAGGGGGTTGCCATCTATTGTTTACTTCGGTTTTTGGCTCCAAATGTTCTGTGAGTTGTAAGAGTTCCTTCCACATACTAGTGCTCTTCCTTACTACTCACATCAGGTCCGGGCTTTCTCTCTTAAACATGAGATCATTCTTGGCCTTCCAAATTTGACAGCACATGATTGCTTGCAAAGATGCTCATGTATCCAGGTCTTCATCAGGGTAGCTGGTCTTTTGAAACCCATACATGATCCAAATAACTATGCTCCTGGATTCTACACTCTTAGAGATAATGCCTAATGGGGATTGGAACACTGCCTTCGCAAAAGAGCAACTTATAAGGAGGTGTTTCACATCCTCCTCTTGTCCACACCTTGGGCATATCCCATCAACCTTTATTTGCCACTTTTTCAACTCCATACCAACACCAATGGCCTACCAACACACCCGCCAAATGAAGTTTTTAATTTTAGGAGGAACTTTTAGCTGCCAAACTTTCTTCCATAGAGATGGTGGTGCTTGTGTTACAATTTGGTTATTGGCTGCCCTTCTTGTTTCTTCATTTAACTTACGTGCAATTTGGTAACTAGATTTCACCGAGTACTGACCATCCTTTGAGTAAGCCCAAATAAGTTTATCTTCCTCCTCTTCCATGCTCAGCGGTATAGTTAAGATACCTGCAACCTCTGATGCTGAGAACAAACTAGTCAACATTGTCTGATTCCAACGGCGTGGGTTACATAAAATCAAATCCTTTGCTTTCAAGACCCACATCACTGGGGTTTGGGGGAATGGATTTTAAAATCCTTAGAGGAAGGCAGCCAAGGGTCTTCCCAAATAAGTATGTTGGCTCCAGAACCAATTCGCCAATAGAGACCATTTTTAAGAAGTTCCATACCATAAGTGATTCTCTACCAAAGCCAGGAGGAGCGAGATGGGCAATTTGAAGTCAGTAGTGGCAATCCAGCTGAATACAGAGATATAAGAAGTTTTCCCCATAAGGAATCCTGGCTATTTAGCCTCCATGCTAGTTTCCCAAGGAGGGCCCAATTGAAAAGTTTTAGGTTCTGAAAGCCCATACCTCCTTTAGATTTGACTAGGCAGGGTTTATTCCAATTAAGCCAGTGTAATTTCCTCTCATTTGTTTTCTGATCCCAGAAGAAACTTGAGAACTTCCGGTTGATGTCATCAAAGATATTCGCTAGGATTCTAAAGTCGTTGGGATTCCAATTAAGCCATTAATATATTCTCATGATGAGGGATAAAATTACAAAATTGCACACGTTCTAATTCTCTTTCTCTTATTGTTTATCTTCTTCTATCTTTAGACTTCAAATGCAAATTAGAGTTGATAAAGGCTCAATACAAGTGTGCTTTGCTTATAAATTACAAAAATGTCATCATTGGTTTGTTTTTTAAGTAGGAAGGTAAAAGAAGATGAAAACATGGGCATTTTCATAATTTTATCTCTCACCGTAATGGTAGATTAATGGAATTGGACTTAAATGTATATTTTTGGAAGCTCAAATACTAAAGTGACATATTTAAAAGTTTAGGCACTAAGGTGAGACTATATTCCCAAAGTACAAGATACCTATCTACAATTTATCCAATAAAAATGAAAAAGAAAATACAATACAAACAAGACTAATGAAAAAATATAATCCTTTTGAGCTTGGATCTCTAACCCACAAACTGTTCCCACATCCCTACCCACAAAACACTACAAAAAGTGTTCCCAATACAAGGTGGTAGTGTCTTGTGGGTAGGAATATGGGAACAATTTGTATGTAGGAGATATGGGAAAATCTATGATGCCAGAAAGACATACCAGAAGTGTTTTGACCAATTAAAAACCACCCATGAATTTTGATAAATACTACCTAATTGGTTAACACATTTATGATACCGGTTGATTGGTTACAAGTTTTTTAGATACTATACCTTCCTAGTATCATAGTTGAAGCCTAGAGATATGGAGTGCTTTCTACATCATAGTCAAATCCTTAATTAAAACTAGTAAGTGTGTATGTGCTTTGCACTTGACAATTTTAGATGATGATAATAGTAATAATAATGTATCTAATTTTTATGAAATTTATGTATTTTTTATTCATATATTTTTTTATTATTTAATTATGGAATCATGGGTTAAACCATTTCACTTGTACGGTTGAATTGCTTACTTGCCCCATAGATAGAAGAAGGTTTTGTTTTGGATCATTTTTTTAAATATGAGTTGTATATTATTAAAAGCATTGGATATAGGTCTAATTAATAGAATTTATTTATGAGAAAAATACCTTAAATGGAGAGAGAAAAAAATTTAATATCTCATATGGAAAGTTAGAAATGATATAATTTTTAAAAGAAATGCCCACTAGGTTCTAAGAAAAAATTAGGAAAGTTGTCAAATAGTTTTCTTTTGTCACTTTTGTTTACAACTCTCGACTTTTCACTAAACCTGCTCATATAATACCCTAGAAGGTTAGACTTCTAGATGAATGTTGTATATGAGAAAGCCCCCCTGCTTGTAGGGTTATAAACAAACAGATTTGGATTTGATTGATAAAAATTGAAATTCAATTTGATTATTGAAATCTTGCATCCGAATTTGATCTGCTATTAAAAACTTGCATTTGAACTCCACATTCATTTATAAAATAAAAGATAAAAGGTCGATTACTTTTCAATTTTTATATATAATAAATTAATATAAACATAACATATTGAATTTATTTTATATATATAAATTCATATATACTATAATTTAAAAAAAATATTTTTTTATGATTTTAAATATAATATATAAATTGTATATATTAAAACCAATAAATATTACAATATAATCAGATTCAGATTTAATCGAATGAAGATTGCAAAATCTGAATTATAAATGTGTTCAATTTTTTCTATAATTTTTTATATTTCTATGTGCATAAAAATAATTTTGATATGTTGCACTTATTTTTTGTTTATAATGATAAATATACGACATTATACATTTCCCCAATTTTTGCAAAACTTATGTATGTTTTGTCTTTTTATCTTTTATTAATTTTTATTATTTAATTATGACATTAAAGGTCAACACATTTGACCCAAAAGTAGAACTATTAATCTCCACTAAACAAGAAAATAATTTCATTTTTTGTTGGTTTTAGATTATGTATTTCATTTCCATTTTAATCATTTTAATCATTAATATTTAAGGCTTATGCTTTTTTTATGTATCATGCCTCAATGTTTAAGCCTTTTAAAATAATGCCAAAATCATCAAAGTGCTCAATTCATATCCTTTCAACTTTAAAATATGGCAAATATTTTTTTCATTGAATCACTCAATAGTTATGTATTGAAGCTTACAACTTTCTACACCTCAAGCATTGATAGTTGAGACATATGTCTCTTTTTAATAGGTTAGGGCTTGAGCTTCAAATCCAAATTACGAGGCTAAGGTGGTGGCATTTGATAGCACCGAATCGACCATTGAACATTGAAAACTTACTT